ACGGGGATCCTCCTGAACTATGGGAATAATGTAGATGTGTCTCCCTGTCTTTCCAGCAGTTGAACTGTGCCGCAGTAAATTAGCCATAAACCGATGCAAACACGACGTAACATTAAAATTCTTCACCATAAAACATTTGCAAACTCTTGGTGGCAGATGACCTGCTACTCTGTGCGGAGGAGGAGAGATTAGGAGTGATGAGAGGTAGATCTGCTCATCCATTTTGATGGCACACCTTTCTTGGGGCATATGGCACCCTCATACAAATTCAAACTGCAGCACAAATGTGAAGAATAATTGCCCATTAAAGTGGCTGTATATTTTTATGGCTTTGATACAAAATCTGCCCCCTGTTGTCTTTTGCATCTGCTGCTCTTTCATCTATCCCAAAGCTTTAAAACTTTAATACACAGTCTATAACCCTTAAGTATTTTTTTGCCAGGTTATATTCCTCTTTTTGGGAACTCAAGCTTTTCATTGTTCCTTCAGTCTTTGTTTTCCCAGGCCTCTGTTGAGATATGGTGCCTACAAAGTGCACCTCCCTGTCATGTTCTTTTAATAAAAAATAGTAAAACAAATGCTTATATTGTGTCTTCTGGGAAAAATTAAGATTTAATTAAATTTCATCTGTGAACTCTAAGATTAAGTTTTTCTTACTTATGCTCATATTTGCTTTTTCTATAAAATCATTAGTTATTTAAATTTTGCTGATATAATACCATGAATCCTGTTAATTCCAAAGGCCTTTTTATTTGCTTAAATGTGTCAATTTGCTGGCCATGTTTCATGTTTGAGATCTAAACTGAAGTTCACTGAAGTAACAGTGATTCCACATTTACAGAGTGTAAGAACAGAAAACTTTGTAGACAATCCTCATTGTAATAATAACTTTTTAAAATTGTATCTCCCTAAGTATAAAAATAGAACAAACAAGTTTAAAGGAGGAATCTTACCAGTGTACTCTTAAAACAATTTCATTTAGGCTGCAGTAGATGATTTGTATGATTTTTGGTAATTATATTAAGCAAAGCCAAGGATTTCTACAGCATATTATTTATACTATAATTTTTTTAACTTGAAAAATTAAAATTGCTGAATGACTTAGGAGCTGAGTTTTGTGGTTGTAATATCATTCATATTTGAATAGCCAACTGAATATCTATGGAATGGATGGGGCCAGTAGATGAACATGTAAATTGTTTTCTATGGCTTGATGTTTGATTATATATTGTCCTTAGAAAAGTATTTCTTTTTATAACCTCATGTTACCACTTCCTATCATCAATGTGCCTTTGGAGAAATCTGCCTTTTCTCAGTCACAGATCAGAAGAATTCCAGTCATCAAATTACTTTGATGAATTTAAGCTACTTTTGCTTAGAAGAGGCCTCTGATGCTTCCCTGCTGAGAGTCAAACACATTTTCAGCCCCATTATAATAGAATTTTCACTGACAAGTTTCAGCAGCTGGGCACTGAGGCACTGAGGAAGGTTGACCTACAAACTGTAAGTCATTAAAACCTCTACCCCTCCTGGCTACTCTCTTCATTACTTTTGGGACTGCCTAATAGCATTTAATACTTCCTGATGGGACAGCCCTTTTCATAAAATTCTTTTTATTAAGTCCATTCTTCAGTTGTGTTCTGATGCTGCCACTTCTGCTGGTTATTTTGGGGTGAGGATATTAAAACGTTGGTAGCAAAATAAGTTCTGTGGTTATTACATATTCCTACCCATCTGATTTCTCAGCTGGGCTGAAGGAGCATTATGTGTTTTTTTCTGAACTCAAATCCAGGGCTACAAAACCTGTTGATTATTTTACCTCTAAGCTCAGTCTAGAATATTAGTACCTGACAACAGAAAGTGTGTTTTCAGATACTCTGATTTTCACATGGACCCAAATCAATTTTTGGGATGTTTATAAATAATAGCCATCGAATAAACTCAGCTGTTAGACCTCACTTGATTGTAAGGCCTAGCAATGCCACTCTTGGCCCATGTTTAGTTTCCATCATGACTGATCCTCTTCCTGGCAGAACTACCCCTCACTGCTCTGCCTTCCACTAATTGCATCTTGAGTATTTTAGTGCTTTGCTTTGCTTTAGACATTTTATACTCCATGACTTTATTAAGAGAGCAATGCAAGGCAAGCATAGCAAAACATTTATATTACTTCAGGCTTCTCATTCAAATGCATCATTTGTGTTGCAGATCCTTTGAAAATAATAAAAAAATCATTATCTTGTCTTAGCATCTCCCATGACTGCTGAGCTTCCCTTACAGGTTTTGGATTTGGTAAACTCTTATGGGCTAAGTGACTCTCCCTGCTATCTCTGGCTTCTTCCTTTTTCTCCTCTTTCATTAAGGGGAAGCCTTCTTTCCCATAAAAAGTAATTCTTTCACAGAGCCATTTCCTCAGTGTCTCCCAATAATTCCAGTTAGTTTTAATTTATTGCTTAGGACTCTAAAGGAAAAAGTGCTGTAAATATTGCCAAACGTAGATGTTCATTACAATGAATTAATTACTGGAACAGATCTCTGGGCAGGACTTTCCAGACCATGTCTTGCAAGCCCACTATGGTGTTGCATATCTTACATTACTGGAGCTTAGGATGTTCTTGAGTTAGCTGGATTTTCTCTATCACTTCTGTTGTTCTTGTGAAATTGTGTTTTCTATCAATATTTAGAAAACAACAGATGAAAGTGAAGAATAATTGCTATGTAGGTCAGTGAAATTTCTCTTAATTTTGTCAGTTTAAGAGTGTCCCTAAAGGCTACATGTTATAATTTAACATGTGCACCATTTCAGATGTCAGTTTTTCCTGGCCATTTTGTCAAATCCATTTCTACCCATTTGCTTAAGCAAACTCTTCTGAGCACTGGTTTGTTTGGTTTGGTTTGTTTTTTTTATTTAGTTAGCTGTTTTTGGTTTGGTTTTTTTTTTTTTTTTTTTTTTTTTTGAAGGCACAAATTAACAATCAGTTTATTAGAGAAACTTACTTCTAGAAATGCCTATTAGTTGGGAAAAGGTGATTTTTCTGAGGCAGGCTGAACATCACTCTTACACAAAGAGTGTTAGAGTTAAGTGTTACCTGCACTGGATTAGATCAGTTCTCCATCCAGTCCAATGCCTGTAACTGGAAAGAAGGAACAGCTGGATGAAGAAAGAAAAGCTGTAAGACTGGAGGGGGTGTAGAATGGAAAGAGAATGGAAGATCTGTAGTTTGAACATTTTGTAAAACTATCTTCTGCATTTTCCTCTGCATATTGTATGAATTTTTATACAAGGTTGTATACTTGGAAGGGGAAAGGGCAGAAGTTACATGATTCCAGCAGCAGGCCATAATTTTGTCACTACTCTATTTACACTGCTCAGTACTCAATCTTGTTGAATATGCAAAAGTACTTACAGAATCCATATTTCACATATAAGATGTGTATGTTGTTTTTCCTTTAAAAGAAATTACCTTAAGACTTCTTAAATGCAGTTGCTTGCAAAGTTATCAAGAAAATATCGAGATCTGCATGTTCATCTTTCTGATTCTGACACATTCCTTTTATAGTCCTTATAAAATATGGTATTTGCACTTTCTAAGACAGTTCTAATTTATTTGCATTGCCATAAGGTTGGTTTGTGTTGTATCACAGGCACGTAAATCTTTGCAGAATTACTGTGTAACCTTTCTGTCAGAGAGAAGGACCTAGAAAATCCCCTAAGCCACAGCAGTAAGGCAGTAATAGAGAAATCACCATAATTACAGTATTTGCCTTCACATGTTCAGATAGCAAGGCCTAAAGTTGTGAATTTTTTCTTTTTTTCAAATTCAAGGCTTCTTTTAAAATTTGATGCTAATTGAGGATTGAAATCCCTATTTCAGATTTGAAATTTTTTATACATCAGTATTTCCATTTGCTTGCTTTTTATTACAGTTTTGCTAAGCAATATTTGTTTTATTTCTTTATTTATATACTGAAAAAGAAAAAAATTCAACACAGTGAAGCACATCTGATGTAACCTGACTGCCAACAGAGCCGGGTTTGATTTCATCTGTCTCACTGATTAATTCATTCATGAAATACATGTTCTAACATTGACACTCAATATATGTACAAAGGAGAAATTAAGTAATGAAACACTGCTTAAAAAACTGGCAGAGAAAGCAAAGTGGGAAATTTTGTGAGTAGTTTTGGAGGTTTATTACTATTTTTTCAATTAAAAAGTTATCAAGAGAGAAATTTTACAGAAGGAAGGCCTCTAATACTGTATTACTGTTCAATTTCTGATTAAAATATTTTAAGTCTCACATGGAATGGTAATTAATTTTCACAGTTCCAAAAACAATATAGAAATGTCTGAGTTAATTTTTTTGTTATATGATTAAGTTATTTCTGTTTGGTCTGGATATTGTGTGGATTCAGATGTAATCCTGAGGCATACCACTCTTCCCTTTGAGGGACTCAAAAGTACAGTTCTATACATGGCGCAACCCCCAAAAAAATGAGAAAAGAGAGGAAAATGTCTTTCATTATTACACAGTTAAGAGCTGGTCAAAAATCAGCTCTGGAAGAAAAGCAAAGCTCTGTTCAATTGGCAAAGTCACTGGGTAATTTAGATGACTTGAGGTCACCTGAGTCTCTAATGTCTCACCCCCACTCAAAAGAGGGCTGACTTTAGAAGACAGATCCAATAATGTGATGCAAATATCTCTGACATTATAAATTTGAGCCTGAACTTGGACCTGGGGAGTCTCCTGGTAGCAGTGTTGGCTGCAGCGGGCAGCGCTCTCCTCAGTAGTGTCTGCTGAGGAGCTCACAGCCGCCTGTGCCGCTCCCATCCAAATTCCCGCTTTGCGCGCAGAGATTTGCGTGAAAACATCACTTAAAACCCTCTGGCGACTCCCTGGTCCAGCTACAGGCCAGCTTTTCCACCATCACAACCGCACTGTTTGCTCCAGAGCGTGGACACTGCACACTAATCCCTGTGTTTTATCTCCCCTCCGCAGTGCCAGGATTTCCCTACCCTGCCGCCACCGCAGCTGCCGCGTACCGGGGTGCGCACCTACGAGGCCGAGGTCGCACGGTGTACAACACGTTCCGAGCAGCGGCTCCCCCTCCTCCCATCCCAGCCTACGGCGGGTAAGGAGCTCTGCTTCCCTCTCCTCTGGCTCCGCATGGATCCATCCCGGGAGCCTGGGCTCCGTTCCCAGCCCTGCCGCATGCGGGTCGTGCCTGCCCGGCACCCGCGGCTCGCACAGCGCCTTGAAAAATGACTGTGATTTGTACTGCCATGCTTGGTGGCCTTAAGCATTTCAGATGTCACATATTGTTATGTAAATGCTCCCGCAAACGGAAGGCTCCGGAACAGGGAGATTGTTTCTGCTAAAGGTATATTTTTGATGATTGCAAACATCTGGTTATTAAGGAGGTTGGATCGTGTTAACTTCTTTTTCTTCAAATCGCCTGCTGAAAGTTGTCTCTGCATCTGAAGGCTTAGTGCAATATTTTTTTTTTTTTAATGCACATATATATATATATTTTATTGCAGCTTGCTTAGCTTTTCTAGTTGCCATCTTTGATATGGTAGAAATCTGGGGTGCTCCTCTCAGGACCGTGGGTTTTGTATAATAATGCCTCAAGATTTTGCTGTCAGTATTTACTAAAACCAAGTAGTAAACTAACAAACAAAGTAGAGGGATTCATAGTAATAATTTATAGAAACCCTATAATCTTTATTTCAGAAGATTGTTTGGGGTTTATCTATATTTTTTGGGGAAAGAAAGAATAAACAATTTCTCCTGTAGCTCTGCAAAGCCTGACACAGAAAGGCTTTGTGTGTGACAGGTAATACTAAAAACCCTTAATAACATTAGCAAAAGATTTTCAGCTGTTAAGAAACTGGGAAATCTGGAAAATTAGGAAACTTAGGAGATCCTAGGCCAAAGTATTATTTTGTCATAAAAAACTTGATTTGCCACTGCCTCTCTGTAGAGCTGCTGGATCTTTCTGGGAAGGGGTCAGGAAGGGTTGGCATGGGCAGTGAGAGAAGGTGATCTCTCTTTTTCTCTCTTTCTCTCCCTGCCCTCACTGAAACCCTGTTCAGCAGCTCCTTGGCTCCCACTGGGGATGTACCCCCATACAGGAGCTGCCAGCACAACCCCTGTCCCCTGCTCCATTCCAGGAGGTGGTGGGTGCCCTGCACTGCTTCCCACAGTTTCTCAGTAAACCTTGCTTCCATAAAGCCAAAAGGAGCATCATTTTTCAGACAAATTTGCTAATCTCCTTGGTCAGCCTTTGGGCTGACTTTTCAGGGATATATTTATATTGGCAGTTTGACCATTCCGTCCCATTGGGCAGTTATTATCTTAAAGAAATAAGATTTTCTAAAAACTAATGTAAAATTGATGCCACAGTATCAGGTTCTTATGTAAAATTGATTTATTTGAGTGTTTTCTGTAGTTTATTAAGCAAAACAGTGTTACCACTACTGGAAGAAGACACTTTTCTGATGGTGTCCCACCAAATTTATCCCAGTTAGAGTCAGTCCAGGCATTTGTACATGCAAAGATGGAAACAAGTTCAGAATGCCCTGCATTCAGATTTCAATCAGAATTCCTCAGCTACCAAATAGATACTGCATCCAAAGAAAGTGGAGTCTCCATCTCTACCTTGTTTGAAAACAAATTCTTGAATTTGAACCTAGAGTGCAATATGAAGTGAGATAACAAGGTGGGCCACTCAGTTTCATGATGCGATTAACATCACACCCTAGTTAAATACAAAGTTATAGAGGTATATACAAAAACAATTACCAGCTGTATGCGATAGTTTTTGAATTGGACAGCACTTTTTGGTTAGTATTTCCAAAATGAGCAAATACTTTCTGACTAGCAAGAAACTTAAATTTGCCTTAAGAGGCCACATGTGGGTGCTCTGTGTATACATGTGTGGTATACACATTATTATAATTAGTGCACTGACTCAGCAGCAAGAGCTCCATTTCCAAGTGTAGCTCATGTAATTGTACTGCTGATTGCCACCCTCTTTAGCAGTAAGTTAGATGTGTAAGCACAGAGAACTGCTGTTGCCAGTCAGTGCAGAGGTTTTGCAGTCAGGTCCAGCAGTGCTCCAGCTCCTGGTTTCCAGGAGGGCAGCTCAGCACTCCCACTCCTCTGCAGGGTGGTTTGACAGGCTGGCTGAAGCTCATTCCCTTCCTGCTCCTGCCAAATCTGGCTTTGTGCATTGCACTGGTCACAGGTGCCATCATTCCTTGCTCTGATGGCTTCCAGCTGTCTGAGAGGAACCCTTGCTAATCTAGGGCTCACCTTGCCACAAAACATAATTTGACACTGCAAAAGCTTTCAATTACCAAGCTCTGTCTTAAATCGTGTAGGTCTTAGTTCAGATATTTAATTTTCTCCATTCACCTGTGCTTTAAAGTAAGGCCCTGCTTTCTGAATTTCCCATTTTGTAATTCATGGGTCAGTACAGAAGTTATACATATCTCTGTTGCACTGATCCATAGCTGGGGTAATAAAACTTTATTTTCCCATAATTTCTTTGGCCTGGCATATTAGATCTCATGTTGGTATCTCCACTGATACAAGAGTGTAACAAAGAATTTCTGTGTGATTCTTTCTTCTCTGCTCACCTATTCTATCCTGTGGCCCATCAAAGAAGAAATAGGGAATTTCCATCGGAAAAAAAATCCTTAATTAATGGAAATTAATTATGAGAATGTTGTTTTTGGTCACAACATGAATAGAACTCAAGAAAATTACTGAGAAAATTATAATAAAGAGATCACAGAGAATGAGTCAGCTTAGAGAAGGAAGAAAACAACTTGGAATATTGTTTGTTGTTAAGAAAAATGGAGTTAGTTTTGATTGCTGTTTTGCAATTAATTTAGTAGCAATTTCTTATTTTACACTCAAGGAAGGAGCCCAGCCTATCAGCCAAGCAAACAGTTTCATACTTAAGTGTTTTCAGTCATTAAGAAAAAAAAAAAAGGACACATTTTCTATAATGACAGATACAAATTTAATAATAAATTTGCTATATAATTACTTATATAGTTTATATTTACTATATATTTACTATATATAAATGTAGTATATTTAATATAATATAAAAATAAATTTAAATTTATTAAAAATCACCGGTGTTTAGTTAGAAAAATATTTCCTTTCAAGAAAGAACTCACATGTAGTTGCAAAGTATAAAGGTGAAGATTACAATTACCTTCTTTTCTTTTCTTTTCTTTCATTAACCTTAGATCTTGATCTCCCTCTAGATCTTGTGGTCATAAGGCAGGGTGAGTTATGGTGGTTCCTATTGAAAGGTATCTTTTGCTGTGCCTCCCACTTACTGGGGAGCAGCAGGCTGGCTTTGCTAAGTCCCAGGGAAATTTCTGGGTATAACCATATTTAAGGCAGTTATTTTCTTATAAACCAAAGAACAGCACATGTGCTTTAAAATGTGTCATTTAAAAATGGAATTACTGTTCATGAGATACGTGGTGCTACCCCAGGAATTAATGGATCCTTCACTTCTGAGACATTTCACAATTCCTTGAGATAGCATCTTGTTTATTAGCTCATGGAAAGTACTTCACTTTTAGCATCTTCTCTGATGAAATATGAGAATTTCAGTTCACTTATAACTAGTATTAATGTATAATATCATAAACCCCCTGACATGGAAAGGGGGAGTAAAGTTTAGTTTGTGTGAGAATACTGATCGCTGAAATTTAGAGTTTGGAAGTCTGCACTGCATGGGGAGCTTAACCTCCAAATGGTGCAGGAGGAGAGGGAAACGAGATCTTTAATATGTTGTCAAGAAAACCCAGTGTCACAGTATATCTGGTAGTAGAGCAGTAGTAGATAGCAGGAGTAGCGATACTAATGAGAAGCCTTTCTGTTTCAGCATCCTTTGCTTCAAATTCTTCACAAGTTTAGTGTGTGATGACTTTGTCTTCACATTTCCTCTCTGCTGCTTTCAGTTCTGATGAAGCTAACAGAGAATTAGCTTTCAGTCTGTATCTCCTCCTCTGCTGTCTTTCCTGGGAAAGCAGGGGAGAGCAATATGCTTTTTTCTCTTTGAAAAGAACAGTTTAAAAAAACCCCAAATCCAACCCTAAATAGAATTGAGAATTTGCGGGGAGTGTGGAGGAGAAATATCAGAGACCATTCAGAAACTGCTCCTCTTGTTAAAATAAACATTCTCAAGTGCTACTTGCTAACTGATTCAAAATGAAAATACAGCTTTATTCTCCAACCCTTATTCTGAATTCTAAATTTAAGATTAGTATGAGCTACTACATCTTCTCTGGTTGTTGAGTTTTTCCCACTAAATTTCCTTGGGCTCATGTAAACTTCCTTTTACTTTGGACTCTGTGTATAAGTGCAACTGTTGGAACAAAAAAATGGTTTTTGCCAGCATATATTGATTTATGTCTGCCAGCTTTGTTTTCTGCAGCAATGCTCTCATCAATATTACAAAGCAGATAATGTAACTTGTCCATAGCACAAACTGTTGAAACTGGAATTAGAGAACATTCTAAAAAGTTGAAACTGCCTCTTAAAGAGTTTCAGTTCTATGTTTATAGCACTTAAAACTCTGTTATTAGAGTGTGTAAAAGTGTTGCTTTAATTCTGTCTTTGGTTTAAATAAGGCTGTAGCTGCATCTCTTCTATCAGTTGCCTCATGAAGGCCTTAGATAAAGGGTTCCCATTAAAGGTGATTTCCAGACCAAGAGCTGGCAGTGTAGGACAGTGAGGGTGACCCTCCCAGCAATCAGAAAACAGAATTGTTGTTCCTCAGCTACTTTCTTGTACTTGTGCTGGAGAGGTAATGGTGAGCATTGCTGTGCCAAGGAAGGGAATTGATGCTGAGAATGGAATAAAGGAGGTATTTATCAAAGGCCTCTAACAGATACTCTTTGGGCAGTGCAAAACCTCACGAAGGCTGCACCCAACATGGACGAGGGTCACGAGTTTTTCAGGCAGATCTGTTTAGTCCATTTGCATATCAGAGGTTAATTGTCCAATTACAGCTTCAGGTAATGAAGTCACATTCCCCCAGTTTGCTTCTCCTCCCTGATTCACTTTTGTTTATACCTCTGGGGGCCTGAGGCAGTGATGGTGACCTGCGTTCTCAGGCCTGGAAGGATTGTTTTGTCTGACCAAAACGTGAAGAGAGCTTGCTAACGCTCTGCATGGAGTTCAGAGTTCCACACTAATGCACTACAGGATCTGAAAAATATAAAAGCTAAAACTTAAGGCATCAGAATGAGGGTGTGATGCCCTTCTGTTCCTGTGAATCCCCCACTGTGGATGAGGCTGAGGCTGGGTGTGCTGCCCTGGGCAGGACGTGTGTGCCTGAGAGCTGTGGATGCTCAGCTGCTGGGAAGGTTCTCAGCTAAGGTCTGTGCAATCAAGGATTGTCTTTTTATGTCATTGATAGATTATTCAACTCAATCCTTTCGAAAGATGAGGACAGAAAAATGATAATGAAGACAGATGTAGTTCTTCCAAGATATTATAAAGGTGGAATCTAAACTAGTAAAGAGTTTGTGTTAATATAGTTACAAAAAATGATTATAAGATACAGAGACCAAAATAAAGGAGCCAAACCCATGAAAGTCAGAGGTATAATACTTGATGGGGAGAGAGTTTCCTATTTAGATAAAAAATTTCAGGAAATGATTGCCACATGATATTATTTAGATGCACATTTTCTTATTAAAACAAGATTTCTCACATATCTGAGTTTTCCTTAGCACAATAAAATAATAGAATACAACTGAAAAAAATTGTTATTTTTAATGCCTCTAGGAAGTGCATTAACATATCCATTCCTTGGGTAAAGTAATTCAGATTTCAGTAACGTGGCTACTTGGAAATCCTGTGGTGTTTTACAAGGAGCACAAGACCTACCTGTCTACCAAGATAATTTTTTTTAATATAAAGTGTAAAAGGAACTGTTGTAAGATGGGTCCCTGTGTGATGCCTTCAGTCTCTTCCCAGCCTCAAGACATCCACTTTGTTTTCTGCATAGTGCCTCAGAGAGAGAAAAAAGAGTGACAAACCAAGCAAATTAAACTAAAATAGCAAAAAAGAAAACAAACGCTTGGAAATTTATATACTAAAGGAAAGAAAAGCAAAACTTAGTTCTTGGTGGTTTGTACTTTGTACTTCTGCTGAAGGGTGCATTTGACTCTACTGATAAGATGAAATCAGGAATCAACAAATGACAAGGACTCTGAATAGAGGAAACATCCTCTGAAAAATCTATGGAAGAGTGAAGAATTACTTTTCCTCAAACTTCAGGAGAAGCAGAGGGTTTTTATCTAATATCACTGTCATAATACAAGATCATGGGGAAGAAATAAGATAAAGTCAGCTGATTTTTAATTTTTTTTGTAGTGCAAGTCCTGGGACTGTTATACCCATTTGCCTGATTCTGTCACTTCATCTTAATATTGGCCATGTCTAATGATGGAGTTATGCATATATGTCTCATTTTAGTGATGGGTACATTTTTCAGCATAGTGTATATGAAGTGGTTTCATTTAGAACTCAAAATAAGTTTCTGTCTGTACGTGACTGGAAGGAAGACTGGGGTGGATGAATGAACCTGTCCAAGATTACAACCAGCTGCACTTAGGAATGAAAAATTTACCAGCCCCTATTAATCTTTGCTGTGTATCCACAGATCACCAAGAGGAGGAAGAAAAAAGCTTCCCTTTCTGACACCTGCTCACTCAAAAGCATTATTTTCTGAATAGCAATGTTTAATAGCAGTTGAGAGCGGGATGGTTGAAGGTACAGTGATGGGCTGGCCTCGGCTGGCTGCCAGACCCTCAGCCAGCTGTGTTCTCCTTCCCTCTCTCAGGGGAACAGGGGGAGAAAGGAGGATGGAAAAACTCTTGGGTTGAGATAAAGACAGGGACATTTCATGCCAGTTGCCATCATGGGCAAAACAGACTTGACTTGAAAAAATGGGTTTAATTTCCCATTAAAGTGCATTTAGATGGTTATAAACAGAGGTAGGAACTAAACCACCTTCCTCAACTCTCCCCCATCTCCAGCAGGAGAGTGGCACAGGGATGTGAGGACCTGATGTGGGGCCCTCATCTCTGGTAAACTCTTTGTGTGTCATCTCATCCAAGTCCTTCCATGCTGTCCATGATTGTGTGCTCCTACCTCACAGTCGTGTGGAATGCTTTATTTCTTACGTGCAAACAGGTAAAGAAAAACATGGAGTGTTTTAAAACAATCAGAGTATCCAAACCAAAACCAAAATGAAGGTACACTGCGGTGTAAGTAGAAAGCTGCCAGTGTCAGCTTTTGCAAATTTTGCTCTGCAGACATAAAAAATAGATAAATATGTGAGTAAAGGTCTGACCCTACAGAAACAAATAGCAAACACTCTGATTTAAGTGGAGCTGAGTTTTCACCCGTTATTATTCCATAGCAAGCTTTTCTCATCAGTGTGGTTTTACCCATGTTGCTGTGTGCATGTGTGCATATTTATGATTTTCACAAGTGATTCTGACTTAGACACACACCAGCTCAGCTCTGTGGGGTTTGGTCATTGACCTCGATAGATCAGTTTTATTTCTGGCATGAAAAATCTTGTTGGAATTGAAAAATGGCTTAGGCTAGCAACTTAGTAATAACTATTATTCCTAGACAGTAGTATTCCTAAATTAAATATATTGCTGCAAAAAACCCTATTGTTTTATTAGCTCTTATATTTAGCTCTTGAAACAGCTTGGATTGGTTCTAATATTGGAAATACACATTTCAAGTTGCAGAACTGCCAAATGGATGTAAAATTGCAGGAATGACCTAATGGGTGTAATTGTTAGGCCACTGTTGTGCAGTTCCAGTTTTATTTAGTGTAATCATTTAAGTTGTCTTTGTCAAACTGTGTCATTTATCCTGAAGGGTTTAGAATCTATCACTGTTTACACTGATGATTGATCTTAGCTGAAATGAGACCATCTCTGGGTGAACTGGTAACAGCAGCGTTACCAGATTTTTTTGAGAGAGGTAGTAGTGTATCCAACCAACCAAAACAGGGGAGCACAGAACCACTGGTGTGTTTGCCAAAGCCGTAAAATGCTCAAGTAGGCAAAGTTGATATTTTTTTTTTTTCATAGGAATAGCACCCTGAAATTCTCAATAGGCCAGCTGTCCCTATTGGTAATGTACATCAAGCCAACAATGCAGTAGCTGTGTGTAGACTGAATATTGAGATTTGACCCAGTGGGTAGAACACCACCAGTGTAATTATTTCACCCACTCCTCTCACCATTGCAACTTAGGCTGTGTTTTGTTTGCCATCTGAGTAATGAGAAGTAACCCTTTATGTCAGAGGGTCAGCATAGTTGCAGGACAAGAAAGCAGCGCTTCAAGATTTAGCTATTTTTGAAGATATTGAAACTGGCTGTTGGATTGGCCCACTGAAAATTTTTATAGGAAAAAAAAAAAGCAACAAAAAATGCTGTCAATATGTGGTTTATTAAAACTAAAAATAGGGGAAGAAAGAAGCCCCTAAACTTTATCAAAAGTCTTTTCCAATCCTGCCATGCTTTGCCTTCCTTTGACTAAGCATTTGGCATACTCGATAAGATGATGTATTTGGTACAGGTTTACTTCTGATAATTACTACCAACCTCCTTAACCAATGTGAAGAGTGCCTTCTTTCCCCCTCCCCTCTGTTCTTGTGAGAGACTAACCTCAGCTGTGCAGGGGTTGGTGGCATTTGCATGTGGAAATGCACTAATATGGATGTTTTTCTTTGTGTGTGCATCCTTGCAGTGTTGTATACCAGGATGGATTTTATGGTGCAGACATTTATGTAAGTATTCATTGATGTGCATGCTGTCCTTGTACATTACCAGAGTCATTCTTTTTACAAGTTTGCTGCCTAGCTTGACTCTGTTTTGTCTATTTACCATCCCTTGCCTGTCAGAAAGAATTGAGAAGAATATCTCTCACATTGGAAGACCTTTCTGTTCATTACATCTATCATTGTTCAGTGGAGCTGAATTAACTCTTCAATCAAATGCTGAATGAATGCAAAAAGATGTGAAAAATGTGTGTGCGTGTGTGGAGGGGCGTCTCCCTTCGTAATTGAAGTTCAAAGAAAAATAAAGCAAAGCAGAAACATTCTTTTGCAAATCCCCACTAGCTCTTTAAAAAAAAAATAAAATAATCAAGGCAAGCTGAATATTGTTATTACTTGAAGTGTGAAAATACTTCATGGAGAGGTCCAGGTTTCCCAAGTCCAGCCAACACTTGGGATATGTAGGTGCCATGGTGGTAGTGGAGCTTAATGGCATAGTAAGTTTGAGACATGGCGATGTATTGTCTGTAATCTGAGAGGACTTCCAAAAACTGCACTTCTAAAATCCACTAATTTCAGTTTAAAGGAGATGGGTAGAGACTGCTCACAATACAAGTGGATAATTTGTTAGGAAGGATTCACAGTCCTGGATCCATCATTATCTATGCACCTAACTGTTCACCAATTTAATCTTAAATAATATTTTTACTTTTTTTTTTTTGCTATTTTTTCAAGTTTTCCTATATTATTTTTTCTTGCCAACTTTTTTATCTTGAATGTGTGCAGAGAGGCTCCATGTGTCTGAGTATGCAAGAGGTTTCAGGGGGTTGAGGCTAATTTCAGTCTTCTAAAATTCTTATACCTAATATGTAGATGTAAAATATTTCACTGGTAGTAAGAAATATTTACTTTTACTATTCTTTTAATAAGGCAATCTGGTTCTAAGTTACAGATATCATCTTGGTTTCACCAGACAACTTTCTGTAACCTACCTCTTCTGTTTCAGTTGAGATAAAATGAGACAGATGAGTTGAAATTTGTATGAATATTAAAAATTAAATAGTCAAAGCTAGGAAAAATCCCTTGTGTTTGTTATCAGAAATCTTCTAGAACTATTCCCAAGGGAACAGCTTTTTGTTAGTAAGTTTTATATAAAGAAGGAAAACAATTTGAATTTATGGATGAAGTAGATTTTATTTTTCTGATGGAGGTGGAAAGGCTGATCCTTATCTGAAAATTCATTTGTGCAGCTTAAAAACATATTTAAAATAAATTAACAAGGGTTAAAGTCTTCCCCCTACGTACTTATGTACTCAGTGATGCTATCAGTAAGATATGGTTTATGACACAAGAATCACCTGCTAGCTAAAGGATTGCTCAAATAAGTGCCTCTGATCTCACCCAAAGGTGCTGCTGCCCAATTTTTGAGCTGTACACGACACGTGTTACAGGTGGAATTTCATTTCTTCAAGTGTGGTTTCCAATTTTCACATTCCTTCAAACCATCAGAAGAGCTTGACGTTCATTTTGCTCAGTTTACCAACCCAGAAATCTGCAGGGCAGGAAAACATCTTTCTCAGGAGGCTGGGGGTGAGAGGATAGGTGGGAACTGGAAGTTACTGGAGCAGGTTTTGGGTTTGGAGCCCACTGCTGCTGAAAGCCAGGAATATCTCGTTGGTGATCGACAATAGTATTTTTAAGTGGCCTCACACCCTCTCACAGACCTTAACATTTTGTTTCTAAATGGAGGGTGGTTTCAATGAGAAAGGTACTGAATAAATTACTGATTTCTAGGATAGGCTCGGTTTTGTTGTCTGCAGTAGTTGTGTGCATTAGGAAATGGAGTAACCACACTGGTTTTCACTCAGTTGCACCCTCGTATTTCTGATTGCTTATCTTAGGTCTCCTAATGCTACAGAATGTTTATCTTTATAGCAGATGACAGAATTAAAACACTCTTCTGGAAATTCAGTTTCTTTATAATATACAAATCTTTTTATTTTATAAATGGCTTTTCTTCACATTTGTGTCTTCTTGCATATAAAGCATTTGCAAGGGAGGTAGAGAAAGATAGGAAGAACTGGTATAAATCAAATAAAACCTTAAAATTCACAGTGTATTAGTTCTTAGTGCAGCAGTTTGCAGCAGACCAAGTTATTTATTAAATCCCAATTCTTTATGACATAGTTCCACTCAGCTTTTCATTTTAAGTGCAAAGCTGAAGCTTTGTGAAATGACAAATGCAGTGTGAAAAAAAGGAGAGAAAACATTTAAACAATGTAGGGTTTAATGGTAGATTGGAGGGAAAGGAGCCTTAGAAATAGCACAGGAAGCAGAACAAGAGGCACACAATAGTGAAGTCAGATCAAAAATATGCATTAATGGGTACATCAGAGTGGGTTTCATCCTGCTCTGATGACACTGAGAAATGACAGATGGACTCTGCTATTCTTTGCATAACTTGGGATCAACAGAGCCTTTGGTGAGAGAAACTACAGATTTAGGGGAAGGGAGGAATGGGGAGACACAAAGATACTGGCTGGGTAAAAACTGCTGGGTGAACCAAGAACAACAAATATCCAGAGTTGTTCAGTACTAACCAGTGGAATAGAAGAGATTAGGACTATAAAAATAGGTGGGAAGTACAGTCTAAAGTGAAAAATCAACAGCCATGATTCTAGATGTAATATAATATATATTTCATATAATTCTATATGGAATGTAATAATCCTTCTGAAATAGCTGAGCTATTGAATTTGCTTTTAAATGTGCCTTTGAGTAGGAAAAATAAAGGAGATTATTAGGAAGTAAAGAAGACCTTTTAAAATTAAGTATTGATTCACTAAGAGAAAAAGTCATTAAAAGAGAATTAAAGTTGCCTGCCAGCAAATATAGAAGTTCTTAGATGAAGATTGACACCTGTGAAAATAAGAAAATACACTCCACAAAATGAAGCAAAAAATAGTAACAGTCTCAGAAATATGCAGTTAGAATAATAGCTCTGCTTTATCTTAAATCTGTTCCTTTTTTTATTACCATTGTCATAAAGAATGTTTTCAGAGTATGTCAGTCATCAATCCACACCTAAAATGTGGGAAGGCTCAGAAAATGAGAACCTTCCACACCCTGACACCAGCAGCTCCAGAAGCCCCTGGGTAATGGTTTAACCATGGCCATTAGTCAGTCTTACTGCTCACAGCAAGGTTTTCTAAACTTCCCAGGGTTCTGGACCTGTGATGTTGCAGCTGGAGAGAATCCATGGTAAAATATACATGTATGGGTTTTAATTTTATTTTTCTTTTAATTTTTTAATTTTTTCTTTAGCTGCTGGGCAAGAATAAGGCAGATTTTATGGTCAGTGGTATGGAACGAGACTATTTCCTAGTAGCTTTTGCCATCCCCTTTAGCTCAAAGCCAGGATGGAGCTGGGGATGGAGGATTTATTTGTTTCCCAAAGGAAAAGCAGAGGTAATTATCTAATCAACATTCCCCTGACCCCAGGTGGAAGTCCTTTGAAGCCATCAGGTCCCCTGAAAGGCACTGCTCTGATGTGAAAAACAAGGTTTTGCAGGTAGCACTGAAGGTTTTCTTTGGAGAACCAAGGATTTTTTTGTGTTTTGCCAATGGAAGGGTGTTCCCATTCCCTGTGACTCACAGAAATAGAGCAAGAAGAGGAGAAATGACTTTGCCAAGGGCAGAAAGGTCCCCAGGGAGCAGTGGGTTGTTCTTTCTGCTGCTCTGTGTGCTGGAACACTCCATGATACCCTTTTAAAAGTTCAGATAGGTAGGGATGAAATGTCTTTTGATCTCATCTTTATTTGTGATGTTAACAGGACATTCAAAAAGGTACCAGACTAATGCTGGTGATTGTATTTAGCTGGAATTAGTGCAGGTGGGGCCTGGATATTTTACCAAGAGCTTTTCTGAGGCAACCTCTGGGAACACAATTCAGAAATACCCCAAACCCTGCACACAGGCCAGGTCCACAGTTTGAGCCAGCACAAATTAGAGGTGGATTGTTTGTTTATTTTTAATTCTCCCACTCAAAGTTTAACTCAGTGGGCAGAACAAACACTGTTGAAATCTCAGTAGCATGTGAGTGGAGGAAAAGGAACTGACACTTTCTGTATTCTGCAGCTGTGGGTGTAATTCATGTAATTTTTAATACCATTCTTCTATTTGTAGTTAATAAGGCAGGTCTAATTCTCAATACTAGGGAAGGTTTGTAAGCTTGATTAATTTATGTTCACAAAATACTCTGAGATCCTTGAGTGAAAGGAAGTATAGGAAGTATAAACTGAGGAAAATTAACTCAACATTTATATGAAATATTAAATATGTAGCTAATGGAAAAGAAAAACCACCAAAAAATACTCATTTTAGAGTCACTTTGTGTTGCATTACATCTGAGATCATGAGAAAAAAATGATTTGGCTGTTTTATGAGGAGGTGCACACGTGTACACATGGTTTTGTACTCTCTAGAGGCAGAAGCCTCGGTAAGATTTTTGTGGAAATTAGCCTCACTGCAAATATACACACTTTATTTTAAAAATTCAGTTGTATTTAATTTCCCATTCATTTCCATTTTATCATATCTTATTCAAAATGTGTGTGATTTCTTTCTAAAATTGATTAAGATTTCTCTATAAAAATCACCCATCTCTGGCAGATCTCTGCTCTTTCTCTGTTTGCCTGAGCCAGAGATGTATAAAACATCAAGAGGAAAATTCTAATTAATTGCTCTGGGGAATCTGCCTAAATTCCTTCCTTACATCTTTCTTTCCATCCTTCCTTCCTCATTCAAATCATTCCATTTCTGTTTCTTTATAGAGCCTCTGTATGGCAATAAATTACCTCAGGTATGACACCCACTGATGGCAGAGGCTCACCATGCTGGATGCAGACTCATGTCAAATCATACTCAAATACATGCAAAATGGATCCTGTGGGTGCAAATGGCAGAAATAGCCCACCAGCTGCATTTTATTTTCCAGATTCAGTCACAAAGTCACAGATAGTGATACTGTTGTTAATTTTTAAAACTATTTAAGCTGCCTGTTTTATCATTGTTCTGGAAGTAGTAAATACCGGAGCATGGTTAAGGCAGTAGACTTTTTTTGTTATAGTATCTGAATTTATTATTTTCAAAATAATAATCCAAAGCATCAAAGTCAGGTACTTTCTGCCTGAATATAAATATAAGGGTAAAAAAAAAATTCCTAAAACATTTCTAATGCATAAAAAATTGTTATTTTTTTAATGTAATTATTGCACAATTTTGTTTTAAGTATTTTATTTTGCAATATAGTCTAAGGCATGAGGATAATTACATAATGTTACTCAGGAGATGTAGTGAAGATTACTGGAGTGTTCTTCACCTAAGGTATCAGCCAAGTTCAAAATTAGAGAAAAATTAGCGAGTAGAACTTGTTACAGAAGTTGAGTCCAGGGGTTTGAACTGCAATCCCACCCCTATTTCCAGTGTAAAGTGTACCTCCAAGTATTTTCTTCCTGCAGTAATTCAAAATCATCTGAAGTAATAGAAGTAAAACAATGAGAAAACTTGGTACAACACCAAAACTGCAGAGCACAAACCCCATAAAACCAATTTTTTAAAGTATATTTTAATGTGTAATTTATGATAGTTTATTTTAAAATTATGAATTCATGACATGGGATGGTAGGAAATTAGGTTTTCCATGATACCCAAGTACATCCTGCTTTTTAAGTTCTCCTGAGAATTCAGGCAAATTCAGTGCCTTCAATCTCTTTTTATTTGTATTGCTTTATACTCATTCTTGCCAGGGCTCTCATAGATGTCAGACTGATGGTTGAATCCAAAACATCTTAATAAAGTTCAGAGTTGAGCTTCATTGTTCAGCAGAAATTCTTTGAAAGCAAATCAAAATGTAAGCATAGAAGGAATGTAGGTCTTTTGTCTAGGGAGCAAGAAAGGGTCTCTCATCACACACTGACCAATTTTTGGTGATAGTTGAATGAAGGAAAGAAAACCAAACCTCACAGAGCCCACCAGGTTTCAGCTCAGCTGCTGTGGGAACAGCATGTCTCATTTTCCTCCCTTTCAGAGCTGCTCATGGTGGCCTGGTGTCATTCCCATGTCATGGTAGGAGCTGGATTCCGTACGTGTAGAGCTGCATTGACTTGGAGTGGCTCTCACTTTTAAATCAGGAGTTTTAGGAGTGGACAGCAGGACAAGCAAAGGAGTTCTGGTGAACAGAACCATGTCAGAATTCAGATGTGCCAGGACTGGGTTTTGAAAACAAGCTCAGTATCTTCCTCATATCAACACTGAGGGGATAAAAAAAAAAAGAAAAAAAAGGCAGGCAAAAGGGGTGATATTTCACAGAATCACCAGGTTGGAAGAGACCTTCAAGATCATGGAGTCCAACCCAGCCCTAACACCTCAACTAAACCACGGCACAGAGTGCCACATCCAGGCCTTTTTTAAACACATCCAGGGATGGCGACTGCACCACCTCCCCGGGCAGACAATTCCAATATTTAGCCCTCAAAAACCAGGAGGGGAGAACAGATAAATTTGTATCATCTCTCACCTCTCTGACTGTGACAGAGGCCAGCCCAAGTGTGCAGCTTGCATTTCTCTCCTCAGCCGTGGCTCGGTTTGTACCTGGTGCCATTTTCTGCTGTGCAGAGGCCTGCACATATCTGCAGCAGCGTGTGCCTGCTCTGCATTTCTGACACTGCTGGCCTTCGGCTGCTTTACGAGAATGAAATTATTCAGAATGAGAAGGTGTTTTGTCTCACTGCCCCTGTGAGTGCAGAGGAGCACAGGAGGGGGCACATGGGGCTTTAGGAGATGCTCGTCCCTGCCTGATCCCAGGGCAGGGAGGGACATGTCCTGTACTCCCTGTGAGCGCTTGGAAAAAAAATCAGAAAGAATATTCTTCAAATAAGCTGACAATTCAAAGCCTGCAGTTTCTAATGAGCTGTCAGTGTATGTAAATCTTGTGTTTATTCTTAGGGTGATGTGGCATTGTTGGCTGAAAGACTGATTTTCAAACCCAACCTGCTTCAAATGTTCAAAGCCACAAAAGTTTACATGTGTTAGGGGTGCAAGCCGTTCTGCTAAGCAAAGTGGTAGAAGGGGAAATAGCTTGTAAAAGTAGTTTAGATTGTTTTTCAGAAGAGTGAATTTTTATTAGCAAAATCAAAATAGAAAACCCACAAAAGTTACTGCAGTAAAAAATATTCTACTGTTACAGTAAAGGCTGGTACATCGTGGCCTATCCTTCCTGCTTCAGCACAATATCTGGTGTGAATGCAGCCTTCCAAAAAAAAAAACCAGAAAGAAAAGAACCAACCCATTAAAGCCAACACTTCAGCAAAAGAGTGAATTTTGTTCAAAGCTGAGTGAGCTGATGCTCTTATTGAGCTCTTTGTTAGGGAGGGGGTAGGTGGGGAAGGCACCACAGCAGCCCTTGTCCCAGAGAGCGCGGGGAGGAGGATTCTAATTGGGACGTAAATCGTGTTTGTGTTATCAGCGGGCCTGGGCTGGGGATGTTAATTGGCATGCTGAGATCATTTGGAAATGGTTGATATAACACCGTGGTCCATTGAACAGGAAGCTCTGCTGTTTTCACAGTTTGATAATCAATGCATCACTGCACTCAATTCCTTTCCAATGTGTGTTTGTTTGTCCTGTTTGCTTAATTGAACAGCTGGAATTACTGTTACGTACAACTGAAAGTTAATTCATGGAAGAAGAGAATTTTGCTTCTTCATTATAATTTTATGTATAATTTGGAAACCTATGTAACATTAAGTGTTAATTGAGTGCACAAATTCATAGGTTTAATCAACCAGGCATGATAAATCATATTTTGTACAAAAAAAAGGAATTGATTATTAGCTGAGTTTGTCTTTTAAGTTTAGCAGTGCTTTGTGAATAGACATACACTTTGTTCAAACAACTGCTGCTTGAAAACTTGGAGAAAAATCCAGTATTGTCTTGTAAAAAGCTTACACTGATCAATACAGTCCATTGCTTTCTCCTGACCTCTGGGACAAATCTTAAAAAGTTTGTGCTGCTCGATTTTACTTAACGATTTACCAAAATATTTTCCTTAACATTTCCCTGCAGTATTTCCTATGCATTTAACTGAACTGCAGCATGACTGTACTCTTTCAGTTGTTGTCAAATGTTGCAAAATGTGATTTAAGGTGCCATGGCAATGCAGTTAGAGCGTGAGTTTGTGTTTCAGGGTGGTTATGCTGCCTACCGGTATGCCCAGCCTGCCACTGCCACTGCAGCTGCCTACAGTGACAGGTAAGAACTCCTTTCCTGCTCAGAAATATTTGACCAGTGGAAGTTGAAGATGATTCTATAAATTTGCCTTGTTGAAGTCTCATAACTGTCTTGTTGCTCTGCAGATAATTGTGATATCTAAAGCAGGCTGTTTTATTATAATCCATGAATAGCCATAAATTGAGAGACTTTAGGCCTTAATTGAGAATCAGGCAAGAAAAGTGCACATTCCCAAGCTGTAGATCATCCAGTTAACATCTGTGACCCTTGTACAATGCAGATAAATAAATGTACAGATTCATGATGCTCTGTTACTAAGGATCATTATTTGTCTTAGGAGCATTATTTCAGTTGATTTAGAACCTTGAACCTATTGAGTGCCCTCAATTCTCACTGACATTGTTTTATTCAGTGGAAATTGAGACTGAACTGTATGTAAGCTTGAACTATCTAATGCAAAACAGTATTTTTTTCCATTTGCTTTCTTCCCAGGCATTTGTTTTTTTTCAACACATTAAAAAAAAAGAAAAAAAGAAAAGATTTTGCTTTTGCTCTGTATTTTTATCCTCACAATGTAAACCACATTTGGTGGAAACAATATAAGGAATGGAAGATCATTAAAATCTGCACATTCAAAGACTTAACTTCTATCCACTTAGAGCAATGTAGTATATGTTAATGTCTCTTCTTGAAAGACGGATGTTGGAATCCCATAGAAGTCAATGTCTAAATTGCTGTTGACTTCAGTAGGAACAGGATTTTATCAAATTGCATAAAATTAAGTCTTGACAGTGTGTGAACATGATTTTGTAATGAGAAGGAGGATTATCCTATGTTTTCTTTATAAACTATACCCTTAGAATCTATTCTCTTTAATGTTTTTCAAGTCCTTGAGGAGTGTTCCCTTGTAAAGGGAGGGTGTCTATGGTGGCAGAGACACACATTTAATTTACTTCATGATGGCAGTGAGAAGTAAGGTCATGTTTCTCAATACCTGCTAAAAGAAAATTTTCCCATGGAATCATGGAAATAATTTCTTAAGCTTTAAATACCTACTGAAAATTTCCTTTAAATGTTAAATTAGACAGTGTCACAAATGCTTCTGTTTCTTAAAGAAATCATGAGATTAAGAAATTCTAGTGCACAATTTCTTAGACTGAAGCGCTGTTCATGGATTCTGTATTTTTAGAACCAAGTCCCATGGTATGAATGTTACAATGCTATGCATGCATATTTGCCTTTCAAGTGCTTATTCTGGGTAATGAAGACATATTTTTTAAAGTTATGTGAATAAAGTAATTTGCATGTATGGCTGAGGCATGCTGTGTCAGACAGGTAAGCAAGCTACTTTTTATTGATTTTGGGTCAGTACTATCAACTAGATGTGTGCTGTGTGCCCTTTGTTGGCAATGTACTATTTCTACTTAGGGGAACCTGCTCAGGTGAACTGCTACTCAGTAGTTTCATTTCATTTCCACAAAGGTTTGTTAGCATGTCACAGCTCTAGAGTTTTAATGTGAGCTTTTCTGTAATGCAAAACAACTCCTGCTTCTAAAAGCCTACTAAACCAAAAGGACAAAATTATAAATAACCTCCTGTGGCCAGCCAGGTTTTGCCAGCTATCGCTCAGGTGTCCCTGGATCACTTTATAGGCTGTTTATTTCTATTACTTAAACCTATGCATTACACAGAGAAACTGAACAATACCAAGCTGACTTTTAAATGCTTTAATTATGAATTGATGTACCTTCTCATAAACCAGATCAAAGGCTCTGAGATAAAATATCAGTTGGTCACATGTTCTGCTATGGGCAGAGAGTCAACATCAGAAAGAGTTATGCTGCCAAAAGGTAAAGGATTTGTTTAGGAAGATAGTGCTCTTAAATACTGTAAAGAAAGCTGGAGATGGCATCAGTAGTAATGCAGTTGTTACAATCCTTAATTATTTTTTTTAAAAATTGTCTAATTTTCAGATACACTTTGTGTATAATTAGAACTGCAATAACCTGTCTTTGCTTGCATAATTTTAAATATCTTAAATGAATTTTATATCTTTTGGATTTTTTTTTTTAATTTAGCTTCTCTTTTTAAATGTGTTTAACCCTCATCTTCGATCTGCTTCCCCCAAATGAGTATGGCTTCTTGTCTTAATTGCAAATCTCATAACTGAATTTCTTTACAAGAAAATCCCAAAACTAGCATCGAGAACAAAACAAATAACAATCTGCTCAAACATTTCTTTGCATGTGGGAAACTATGTGCAAACATGGATACCTCTGATTACTCACAACAACAGTTTAATTTAACTTTTTGTTCATTTTAAAATTAATTTAATTTAGCCACCTTTGTGAAATTATTTATAGGAAAGTGCTGAAATATAGTTCAGTACAACTGCTTGTATCTGCTCTTCTCAATGTAATTATCATCTGCTCTCCTCTCATGACACTGAAAATTCCATATCTCCTTATACACTTACTTAGTGTTCATATGAGCCCCTATTTAATTTAATTACACATGAACTACATTTACTGTCTGTATAAAAAAATGATGATCAAAGAAATTGAGTACCACCCACTTAAAGCAGTGACACATCATGGAAATACTACTTCACACTAATTTAAAAAAATAAGAAATCTTTATTTTTTTGGTCACCACTCATATCCATTATGAATGGCGATGTTCCATATTTGAAAGGCTTCTTAAGTCAGGAGATGGAAAGAGGAAATCTTTAGATTGGAGACGTTTTTTTGTAAATTAAAAATGAAGGTTGACAGAAAGATTTGGGACTCCAGAATCAATAGACCAAGTCAATTGATAATGATCACTGTCAGAGGGCTCTATTTGAAGAAATGAAATGGTATCCTTGTTTGTCACAGCTGGAAATATTGCTGGAAATAGGTGAGGAACAGATTTACAGGGGAGAATCAGGTGGCAAGGAAATACCATTAAATCAATCAATGCAAACCCAAAGTATTTGTCAAGACAGATCATGTACTCCTAAACCAAATTTCCTAACAGGGATAGGCCTGGCAGATCTCTCCAGTCGTTTCTTAGGATCATAAACCAAAAACAAGCAAGTACATTTTGTTTTATTTATGAAGCAACACAATCACTGGATACAAATTCAGAATTCAATTTTTATATTGTGGGATCTAGCATACATTAAATTGCATGTACAGATTTGAAGGTCTTTGTAAAAGTGGATCAAAAAAAAATATGTTTAACTTGCCAAGATTTAAAATATTTCTGATAAGTTTTCCAATTAGTATAAGTCTTAAAAGGGGACCTATTGGTCTACATATATTCTTCATCAGTCTGGAACTTTCCTGGCAAACTCTCTAAACTGAGCATATTTGAAAAAAGTAATTGTAAGGATGCACAAAAACACTAAATCAGATGTCAATAAAACGTCTGTACAGCTCTTATTCATCTTTCACGCAATATTAAAAAATAAATAAATAAAAAATAGTTGTTAGATTTCTGTCCAAGTCTGAAGAAAGAGACACTAGCAAGGACATGCAGCTTTGTATTCCTGAGGTAGAAGGAGTCGGAGCATGGCAGTGGGGCGTATTGTCATTTTGTCATTGCATGTTCACTTGGTGTTGCTGGTATGTCTGTAATGCTGTACTGGATTTGACAGATCCATCACATAGCTCAGTGAATGGCTTGCTTGAATTAAGCCTATGGGCAGACTTATTCACGTTGATTGGCTATTGGTTTTGTGTTTTATGATTTGATTATTGCATCTTCGATCGGAGTAAGAAAAGCGTTCCTTCCGCGCATATTAACGTTGTCAGCAATATTTGTGCAAGTGTGCCTGGGAGTGCAGTGAGCAGAGCCCTGGCAGGAGGAAGGCAGCCCTGTCTGAGAGGCAGAGTCACCCCCCTGTGCTGCTTGCTGTCCCCGTGCAGGCCCAGGTGTGTTTATACATGGATGTGCTGTATCCATATATACACACACGTTCCCATCCATCCCACACCCCCCGGCAGCGGGCTGCTGCTCTGAGCACCATCCCCTGCCATAACACAGTGCCAAATTTAAACTCACTCCAAGCTATGGGGACATTCCCACTGACTTCTTTGTTGTCTGGATTAAATCTCTCATCACTGGAAGCTGACTTTTTATTTTTTCCTCTTTTTTTTTTTCTTTTTTTTTTCAATAATAAGGCATATTCCAAAATAGTTTGCACATAACACTTTGCAGTAAAAAATATGTTTTGGTTTTTTTCCTCCCACTATCAATTTGTGTTACATGTTCTGTGGTTATACTAGGGTTTTATGAAATTTGAGAGAGAAGGTTTTGTCATATGGAAATTATATATCTTCCAGATCTGAAATCTTACTCCAGATAAAATCCTGATATTCTAGTAGTTTACATTTTTGACACGTCTATGTGGAGCATTCAGTTTTTTCAAAGCAGTAATGTCTACAGAAATAGTTTCATATATTTTTCAGTTCCCTTTGGGCAAGTAGTTGAGGGTAATACTTGATATTTGTGTTCAGGTTATCCTAAAATAGAATAGGTACAGATTTGATTTAATAGTAAACATGCTCATTAAAGAATGAAAATTTAGAATGAAGAGTAAAAAACCACAAAATATAAAATGTGAGATTCTACAGCTGAGGGGGGGGTTTATTATATTGTGGACTATGTAATCTTCTATTTTATGATTAAACAATGAAAACCACTATATTTTTATTCAAATTATTTTTCCTTATTGAAGATTACTAGAGAGATATACTAAAAATTAAGGGTTTGATTGCCTATAAAATATAATAGCATCTTGAGACAGAATTTAATTTTCCATTAAATAATTTTATAGAAGCATAAATATTCTAAAATCTAGTACCTCATTCATTTCATGATTGTACTTTCTGAGATTTAGGAGAAAAAGCTTTTCTACACAGTTTTAGTTTCTAAAGGAATCAGGTTGGGAGAGGAAAAAAATTAGAATACAGTGGTAACTTTTCAACTTCCAGCTGGAACCTTCAACCATTTGTGTGTTTTGCCATGCCAGTGGA